TACCGGACCGGGGACCGGCAACGGGATCGCAACCCTTGGCATTGCTCCTGCGCCTCGCTCAGCCAGTGAGCGGGAACCGGTCTGTATGTGGGATCCAAACCCTCGGGCGGGAGCGCCGCCGCGCTTCCCAAGCGATGCACTATCCAGTGCGCCACCGGGCCGGCCCTATGTCTCTACTGTTAAGAGACTGGGGCCAAGAAACGTCTATACTTCCCCATCTTCTGAACCCAATCCAAATGGCATCTAGAAGTCCAGGGTGGCGAGGAAAAAGCAGGTCTTCATCAAATCTACTAATTCCACACCTTATTTTATTGACACAGAAAATGTTGAGAATCCCAAATTTGATTGGTTGGAAGAACAAGTGAAGGGCTTGACTAGATGATGAACGCCAATATTAAATCTGCTGGAATTTCATGTAGAAGAGGAAGACAGACAACATCCAAAATTAGTTAAGACATGATTTACTTGAATGTGGCTTAAGAAATATGGACACTTAAAACTCTACCTTGAAAATAAGAACAGATTTTATCTAGAGATAAAGGATGGGATGTGGAATGGAGATTTAGTTTTCATTTGGTTCATTAAATCTGTAAGGCCATAAAACAGGTAATATAAAAAGCTTCCATGATTCTATTTACATGTACATTAGAAGGAATTTCAGTTGTTATTGTAAATCCTCAATGTATTGTTTCAGCAGTACTAGTTTAATGCCGATATACTCTAGGTGAAGTTTTGCATTGTTTAGCTACCACTGTTGTCTTGGGAACTGAACTGTTTTTCCTCTGAGGCTTTGGATTTGACATTGCATTTGACCTTTTATGTAGTAATTGACATGTGCCAGGTCAACAATGGATAAAATCTATCCCCAAGTCAGGAGTAACTCTTGCTTATCTGGCAGGCTTTTCACATCACTATTTCCATTCAACAAGAGCACCAGATTCATTTAGCTCAACTGATTCCAAAGAGTAGAATTGCATTAACCTCAACTGTTTCAAAGTGCTGCTTTTTATTTCTGCATATGTTGCATGCTTTTTACAATTTAAAAAATGATCTATTTGTAAGGTAAAATAATACATTTTGAAATTAAAAAGGCAAATATGTGAAGGAGCCAAAACTGTAAATCAAGTATTTGGGAAGTGAAGACTGGAAGCTAACTTGCATTAGATGCACAAAAACTTTTATACTCTTTCTGTAAATTTTTTTTTAAAGCTATGGATCAGAATAGCCACATTTGGAACACTTTTTGTTATAACAGTCAATATTTTTAGATAGTTAGAACCTGGTCCCATGCCCATTTCTGCAGTAAATCTTTTACAACTGCCTTGACACACAGAAACCTTTTTAAGAATTCGTTTGCATGGTCACACATGATGCTTAGATGTTTTAGTATCTAAATATAGCCACAGTAGTCTTGATAACCAAAGTCATTTTTTCCCCATCCTTAGAAACCTAAGCAGGAACGACCTGATCGAACAGATTGGAAGCTACCATGTGTGTGAATGAACACTCTCTTCTGCTTCATACCTGAATGCTGTACATGTATTTTGAACTGTATATTGTGTTTGTGTATTTATGCTTTGATTCATAGTAACCTCATGTTATGGAATTGATTTGCATTAAACACAAACTAAATAGAAAAAAGAAAGAAGAAAATATAATAAATATGTGAATAAAATGTTTTGGGGAAAATATAATAAATATACGAATAAAGTGTTTTGGGAACCCTTCCTCTGTAACCAAACATGGCTAATGGTCAGCGAACATGAGTTAGAGCATTTTCTGACATTTTTTTCCTTTTGGTGTCTGGCTGGTACCGGGATACAAACCCGAACCTTGCTGTTAAAGGCTGTGCTCTAGCCAACTGAGCTAACGGGCCAACCTTTTTTTCTTTTGGCTTTTTTTAAAAGAAAAGATCTCTGGATCACATCTGAGAACTCCTTTAGCCATCAGGTCTTTTTGCCTTCCTCCTGAATGCTCTTCAGTCATTTAGTATCTTCCTTAAAATATACTCTAAAGAGTTCTTTTGAGGGAGTTTCCTCATAAAGAATAAAACTGAAGGAGTTTCTTCATAGAGGAGGATAAAACGCAAAAAAGAGTTTGTTGACTTCATTTTAGAATTCTGTGAGGATTGTCACCTTGGCGGTAAACGCGTTTTAGGAAGTGAAGGGTGTTAAAGAAACGCTTCCCCTCCAGTCAATTGTGTTGGGAGGCGGCTTCGGCGGCGCTTCCCCTCCCGCCCGCTTGGGCTGCGCTGCACCAGGAGCCACAGTCCTTCCGCAGAAGGCGCCGCTCTTGGCGTTGCTGGGGGACGCTGACGCTCGGAGACCATACTTCCTTCCGGGTTTGCCGCGAGTGTGCTGCCGCTGTTTGGGCTGCAGCAGTTTCTCGTTCTGGCGTGAGCGGGCCGGGATGGAGGGCTCAGGGCCCAGCGAAGGTGGGTTCCGTGAGGCGAGACCAGGCAGGGTGGGCTGTGCCGGGGGAGCCAGGGGCGCTGCCCTAACAAGGCCTCCTATCTCTTCTTTTGCCCCAGTGACAGGTTCAGACGCGTCGGGACCCGACCCGCAGCTGGCGGTCACCATGGGCTTCACGGGATTCGGTGAGTGAAGGCAGAGCCGTGTCTCTTTTTGCAGAGGTTTTAGAAGTCGCAAGTTGGGAGGGGAGGTTGAGCCGTCACTTCTGCCCCACACCTTCCGCTGTCCCAACTCTGAGGTCCTTTAGCTCCCGTGTATACTTTGCGGTTTCTCGACACTCTTCTCCATTCGTCTTCTGACTTCTTATCTGTTTGGGACCAGTTCAAGCGACATTTACCAGAGACCTTGGGAGAAAGAAGGATCGCTTTTGTGTCCCACTTGCAGGAGTATCTTTGTTGGTGGAGGGAGTTGTCTTTTTGCGTCCTGAGACTGAGAGCGAAGGACTAAAATAGTTCTTAAATAATTTACCCTTTTGGCAACAAATGGGCCCTTAAGTAATATTATGTAATGGGTACTCAGTTCTTTGTGATTCAAGTCTCTTTTCTTCAGAATCTTCACTTCAGTCCCTCTGTAGACCCTAGTCATGGCACATTATGAGATAAAGGTCTCAAACAGAGATACGTTATCAGTAAAAATCATGTGTAAATTGTCCACCCCTTTTCTCTTGGGTCTTGGAAAGAACAAATGTCAGGCTAATGTGTCTATGTCTATTCATTCATTCATTCAGCTAATGTCTTGAGCCACGTATTTACTATCTCTTGTGTAGGTAGTCACATCTCCAAAAGGGTAATTATAGTACTTATTTTTATTTCAGCTGTTTTTTAAAACTTTTCCACTAATTTCAAAAGTTACACTTATTAATAGCAGAAAATCTAGAGAACACAAATTACAAGGAAGAAAGTAAAATCATTCATAATCTCATGATCTGGAAATGAAGACTTAAAATTTAATTTGTTTTTCAGTCTTTTCTGTTATGCATTTATTAATTTAAGGTAATACTTAATATGTAAAGTTATATTATTCTTAAACACACTATTTTGAAGTCTTTTTCGTAGTGTAAAATGCTCTTCTAAAACATGATTTTTAATAGCTGATCAGTATACTAATGGAAGTGCCATAATTGGTAATATCTTTAACTTTTCCCTACATAGTTCCTTTTTAAAGAACTTTTTAACTTAACTAAATTTTTTTTACTTATTCTTTTTTTAGAATATTGAAAGCTTTGGTATCCCTAGGTAGTTTATAATTTTAACTTTTTAAAATAATGCTAGAATTAACTTTTTATTAATAACTCTTTTATTTCCTTTTGTATAGAGATTTTTACGTGTGTTTCTGTAGGGTAGGGAAGAGGGACTACTTTATTCAGAAATATAAACTTTATTACAGTAGAGCTGAGGTCCCTATTTCTTCCCTGGCTCTCAGGCTGTCTCTTAGCTCCTTAAAGAATCTGCATTACTCATGTTGCCTCCTTTATCATCAAACCAACTGTGGTGCTTTGAGTCCTTCTCATGTTCTATCTGATTTCTGTCATTATCTGTTCTGCATCTTTGCTCTTAAGGGCTCCCGTGATTAGATTGGGCTGACCAGGATAATCTCCCTATTTTTAAGTCCATAAATTTAATTACATCTGTGAAGTCTCTTTTGCCATATACTGTAAAATATTCATAGGTTCTAGGGATTAAGGTATGGACATTCTTCATTCTGCCTGCCACCGGTGTTGTTGTTTCAAGGGGAAGAGATTTAGATGAATTAGAGAAGGATGGGAAAGTTGGCTGGTTACTGTTTTTTAGGGATGAGATTGTCATTAAAAATTCTGTTTGAACTAAACTCTTTCTTCCTTGATATTTTGTGGTTATCTTGGAGCCATGCTGTAAACTAGGCAGTGGTTAGTGATCATTCAGTAAGTATTGAGTACCTAAAGTTTGACCGGCTTATTGTAGGACAATCACAGTCTGCCACTTGTTCCTATTTTAGGGAAAAAAGCTCGTACATTTGACTTGGAAGCAATGTTTGAACAAACTCGAAGAACAGCTGTGGAAAGAAGTCGGAAAACACTGGGTAAGAAATTTAGGTATTTGCTCTTTTATTGGTTTAAAAGCTGTATATACCCTATACAAGTATGTTAACAGTTATAAAATAGAAAAAATTAAAAAAAAAATTTCAAAGCCAAATGGTTGGTTCCTTTGGAAACAGAATTTGAAGGCATTTTTTTTTCTCTTTTCCTTTTCTTTTTAAACATGGTAAAAGTTACATCTCAATAGGATAAGAAGGTCTGAGTACTAAAATCTTTTAAAGTTGTGTTCCGTGAACAAACAAGGATTCTCAGTAAATTTTGGATTCAGAATAGCAGTTTCTTTATTACCTCTCCTCCCACCTCTGTCTGACTCTGATTTCATTTTTTTCTTTCCTGCTTACAGCTGAACCAGTATTTGGAAGGCTGGGCCCCAGGTGGTTCTCAGAGCTGTATACACCACTGACGGTTGACCCAGACAGTATAGAAAATTGAGACAGTGAATGTGGCTGCTGATATCGAACCCCTGCTTTAATGAGTTGTATCAGACGTTTAACCTTAATTTCCAGACTGGTTTGATACCAGAAGGTTGGCAATTCTAGGTACCACTTCAGGGTCTTCAGAGGAAATTGGACTCTTCTGCTTTCTTTGAATCTGATTCAGATCATTCTTACACTGGAGATGGGATAGATGTAACTTGGTAGAGCAAAAGGGGCTAGCAATCAGATAGACAGGACTCCTGGAAAAATTTAACTTAAATGAATGTTGTTATGGTATTTGTCATTGTTGGTTTGAAAATGATAAATTGCATAGCAGCAATATCTACTATTTGGGCAGTGAGGTTGACATGAAGTATTTTTGGTCTTTTGAAGAAAAACTTTTGTGGTAGAAAGACAGCTTCCTACATACACGTCTATTTTAAAAAGACCTTTATTAATTATGTGAAATTTCAAATAAAAAATAGAATAATGAACTACCATGTACCTTTCAGTTAGATTTAAGTACTGTAACAATTCATGGCTAGTTTTATTTCCATTTATTTTCCCTCTCACGCCATGTTGAAGCAAATCCTGGTCATATCATTTCACTGAAATATTTGTGTATATGTCTTAATGTGATAAGAATCCTTTTTAAAAAAACTTAGCCAAAAAAAAAACCATACTGTTTTTCCTACTCTCACACAGTCCAGTCAGTACTTCACTTCTGATACCAGATGTGTGAGAGTTTTTCCCTGCACATCAAGCAGTTCTTCAGCATACACCAGCTGAGTGTCCAATAACTCAATTCAATTCTGTCACTGTCTACCTGGAGACTGCCATAAGACTGCCCCTACTTCAGATGCTAATTGAGGGTCCCATGTTTATCAAGCAGTTCTTCAGCATACACCAGCTGAGTGTCCAATAACTCAATTCAATTCTGTCACTATCTACCTGGAGACTGCCATAAGACTGCCCCTACTTCAGATGCTAATTGAGGGTCCCATGTTGTGACCTGTGCCTCTGACCAACTGACTCCCCAAGACTCCCCTCCTCAGTTCAATAATTTGGTAGGATGGCTTACAGAACGCAGGGAAACTCTTTACTTATGTTTACTGGTTTATTATAAAGGATATTTTACAAGATACAGATGAACAGCCAGATGTAGTGATGCATCCGGCAAGTTATGGGGTGGGGGAGGTGCAGAGCATCCATGCCCTTTCTGGGTGCATCAACCCCTCCAGCAAGCTCCACATGTTCAGCAATGCTAAAGCTTATTAAATCTAGTAGTTCAAGAGTTTTTATAGAGTTTAATCTCCAGCTCTTCACCCCCAGGTTGGTGGGTGGGGCTGAAAGCCCCAGTCATCTGATCATTTTGTCTTTCTGGTGAGCAGCCCAATCCTGAGGCTTTCTAGGGGTCCCACCCTAGGTCACCTCAGTAGCTCAGTAGCATAAACTCAGTGTGATCAAAAGGGGCTTCTAGAGAATAACAAAAGATAATTCTTATCACTCAGGAAATTCCAAGGGCTATAGGAGCCCTGTGACCGGAACCAGAGACAAAGACCAAATATATTTCATTTTATATAACAATATCCAGGCTGGCCAGTTAGCTCAGTTGGTTAGAGCATCGTGTTATAACCCCGAAGTCAAGGGATTGGATCCCCATACTAGCCAGCTGCCAAAAACAAACACAATACCATTATCACGTCTAAAAAAAAAAAGCAATTTTAATATCCTCAAACAAGATACAAAGACATGCTATCTGAGGCATATTTACAAATGTTTTAAACACTTAAAAACATTTTATTGAATGCTTATACTATCATAATATAGATATCTTGTATTTACCTCTTTAAGTATGTCATGCAAAATGCTTTGAACAGGAAGTGTCTTATTCACCTATATAAATTTTGTGATTGCCAGTACCATGCTTTGCAAAATAGTTTCTCAGTACTTATTTGAGGAGATTGAATTGAATTTAGAACTGTAAGTGTACTTTTTAACAAATAAAATTCTGTTTCTTTGGAGAATGTTTTAAAATGGCATGATCCATTGGAAGGAACTTGGGATTTTGAGTTGGAGGACCTGGGTTTGAGGCTCAGGCCCACATTTAACTAGGTGGGTAACAATGGATGGGTTTTCAAATTTCTCATCCTTAATTTCCTTATCTGTTAGGTGGGAATGATATTAACATCTACCTTAAAAGGTTCTTGAAGGGATTATGATTTTGGGCATAGTACCTTGTAAAAAGTAAAGTACTTTATAAGTATCATATAGGAGATTTTTCTTAGTAAAGCATGTATGCATTTCACCTAAGAGGAATTTGGGGTTAGATTTTAAAATTTTTGGAAAATTGCCTCAAGACTATGTTCTCCTCCGTGGACAAGTGAAATGTATTGAACTTTCTGGATTTAGTATTATATCCTTGGTCTTGGACTGCTGTTCCTATCCACAGTCTTAACATATGAATCTCAATTGAACATCTGTTTGAAAGATTTACTTAGCTTTACCATGTAATTGGAAAATACTGTTGGGATGATTTATCGGAGTATAGCAATATTCATCACTATATGGGAAATTATTCATTATAAGAGATTTTTTTGTGTGTGTTCTCCCAAACATTGTAATTAAATTACTTTTACACTGTGGAATTGAAAGTTGATATACAGTTTGATGTTTCTTTAAAAGTTGAAGAATTCCAGTATGGGTATTATTTATCTCCTGATTGGTATTGGAGTCTTTCCCTGGGCATTGACATCATACTTGAGGAAAGTGAGACTTTGACCCTTTTAATAATGAGTTTAATTGTCTTTGTATATGGCTATGAATTGTTTTGGTTGCTAAATGCTCTAGTACAAAAGATGAATGCATTACAGTAAAACCTCAATAAAATATGTGTTGTGAAATGACTAGAAATTATAATGGTACAAGTTGTTTTTAATGCCTCTTATGTTCCTGAAAGCTGTAAGTAAGTCTAGGACATATGAACAATATAGACCCTTTTTTATTTTTATTTGAAAAAAAAATTTTTTAAGGGCTAGTCAAGTGAAGCAGTGGGAGTGGAAAACGAACAGAAAAATCTGTAACTGGTCGTGATCAATTAGTTGTAAACACCACTGCACTTGACCTGCAAGACCCATTTTTAGAATTGTCATACTATAAGAGGATAAAAGTGGAGGACATTATTTTTCCTCAGGTATTTTTTGGGTGTAGCTATGTTTTGGATGGATTCATACCTTTTCTTCATGATTTTTTTTCAATGGATGATTTAATAATCCTGAAAAAAAGAAATCGTTGCAGAAATTTTAGAAATTGGACAAGCTTTAAAAAATTTTTTTTTACCTGGAACATTTTTCCTTCCTAGTTAAATCTTTATCCTTTAAGGCCTACCTCATATTTTACCTTTTCTAGGAATGATTTCAGTACACCTCTGGGCATAATAATTGTTCCCTGCCTGTGCTTACATAACACTTTAAAAAACTATTATAAGTTTATTTTAATATTGTTCACGTCTTGAGGATAAAAACCTTGTTCTTAATTTGTGTACTTACAATGCTTAACACAGAGCTTGGTACGCAGTAGTTAACATCCCTAAATACTTGATGGAGGAATGTGACTAATGTAGTTAAAGTGTTCTCATCTGATTTTTTACTTCCTAGTATTTTGTCATTAAAGAGGTTTAAAATTACATATATATTTTCATGAAATTGGTAGGTCAGTGAATTGTTATAATTTTTTTTTTTTTTTAAGATGACAGGTAAGGGGCTCTTAACTCTTGACTTGGTGTTGTCAGCACCATGCTCTCCCAAGTGAGCCATGGGCTGGCCCCTTGTTATAAATTTTTAAGAAATGAAACATTTTAGTAATATTGAAGTCCTATGAGTAAAGAGAATATCGTGATTAGAAAACATTTATTCTAACGTATTTCTAGTAATTTTATTTTGTTGCATTTTATCTTAACTCTCATTTCTTCCTCGTTAAGAGGTTGCTGTAGTGATTGGCTCTGAAATTTTCAGGTGCCAAATTACAGTCCTTTGAGTCTGCAATTTGTTTGAATCATTCCAGATGGGACATGGTAGTTGTGAATAGTTTGCTATTAACTTAGACAAAAATTGCATAAATTTGAGGTGCTTTTGCAAATTTGGTAACTATTTGAAAGTAGAGAAAGGAAACTACTATAGTAATAAAATGAGGTACTTGGAAGAATAAAAAGTGTTGGGGAGTAGGTTCAGTTTCTTTGTTTTTTTTTGGCAGCTGGTATGGGAATGAATAGACCTTGGTGTTTAATACCATGCTCTAACCAACTGGGCTAACAGGTCACCCTTGTTAATTCACTTTTGTTAAGGAAAGATAGCATACCTTGTACTTAAAGTATTCACATTGTGCTTGGTTCTACTTTGGGTAAAAAAATGAAATGTTTTTACTTAGGGTGAAATGATCTCCTCTGTGAGGGAATTTACAATCTATTGAATTCTGTTTCATTTTGGTTTTGTCCTTAGTCCACAATGAGAAAAATAAGTTGGGTTTTTTTTCCTCTAAAATGTCTTTCCTTGTTTTCACTGTTGTTGCTTTAATGAAGCAGCACTTGACAGTGGGAACATCTCTAAGTAGAAAATATTGAATCCTTGCTAGTGTTAAAAAAAAAAAGTTCAAATTTTAAATTAAAAAATTAGATTCTTCACTGGAATGAAGCAAATAATTTGGAGTATTTATCCACTGGTGAGGAATTATAGTTGGACAGGTGAGTGGGTCACAGTTTCTATATAGTCTGATGAATAAGCAAGCAGTACTTTACAGACCTGTGGGGGGAGAGGCAGGCTGAGTATTATGTAAGGTAGGTGGTGCTTATTGGATAATTTAAAGTCTCTAGAATGTCTGGTCATATCAAAGAAGGATCCAGTTGTGGAGCCAGAGTTCAATTCACTGCTATGGTAATGAATACCTTTATTAATTGGGCGAGTTATTTTTCTATGCCTTGGATCCCTGTACTGTAAAGTGGGGATAATACCACTTCAGAGGTTGCTATGAAGATTAAGGGATTTAATGTGTAGGAAGTGCTTAAAACCTTGTACATATAGTAAGCTTCATGTACTTACTGGCTGCTATTATTTTCTTAAATTAAAGCTGATGGTAAGATGCCTTTTGTTACTTGCAAAGAAGTCATAGAAGAAGACCTAATTAAAAATGGCTCAAATTAGAAAAATTTGGTATCATATAACAAGAATTATAGAATAGGGTTCTTCCATCTTCTGAGTCCTGACATGAAGGGCATGAAGTTTTTTTCCCCTTTTTCTGCTTTGCCAGCTCCTAGGGTATTAGATATGCTTCTAAACTGACTGTCTTTGTGCTCCTAAGTTTTCAGAAGTTTTAATCGTTATGTGCAGACTTCCACATCCACAGCCAGAAAGAGGACTGTTTTGTATATCTCTGTTTGGGGAGTAAAAAAATCTTTGTTAAAGATTCTTCACCAACGTCAGCCCAGTGGAGGGCACAAACATTAACATGAACTCGATCTATAGTATTTGCCTTACCTCTTCCTGGAAGTTCCTCTTCATGTTTGACATGAAGGACTGTCTATTTCCTTGTTGACACTTGGTTATCTCCTTGTTTCTAAAACCATCACCACAATCCATCTGCATAACTCTGTTCCTCTTGTAAAATTGAAACTCTGTACCCATTAAACAATAACTCCTTACTTTCTGCTCCCCTCCAGCCCCTGACAACCACCATTCCACTTTCTGTCCCTGACTTTGACTACTCTAGGTTACTCATATAAATGGCATCATACAGTATTTGTCTTTTTGGACTGGGTTTATTTCACTTAACATAGGGTCCTCTAGGTTCATCTAAGTTGTAGTATATTGCAGAATTTCCTTCCTTTTTAAGGCCGAATAATATTACGTGTTATAGAAATACCATATTTTGCTTATCCAGTCATCTGTCCATGGATACTTTGGTTGCTTTCACATTTTAGCTATTGTCAGTAATGCTGCTGTGAACATGGGTGAACAAATATCTCTTTGAGACACTGATTTCAGTTTTTTTGGGGGGTATATACCTAGAGGTAGAATTGCTAGATCACATAGTAATTCTATATTTAATTTTTTGAGGAACTGGCATATTGTTTTCCACAGTAGCTGTACCATAGATTGATAATTTTTTGCTGTTACTGGTGACATACTAAGTTACATCTTTGTGACTATGTTAATTTTCACATCTCAGGTAGTTTTTTTTTTTTTTTTTTAAAGATGATCGGTAAGGGGATCTCAACTCTTGGCTTGGTGTTGTCAGCACCACGCTCAGCCAATGAGCCAACTGGCCATCCCTATATAGGATCCGAACCTATGGCCCTGGTGTTATCAGCACCGCACTCTCCCGAGTGAGCCATGGGCCGGCCCTCAGGTAGTTTTTTTTTTTTTTTTTGGGGGGGGTTGGCTGGCATGGGGATCCGAACCCTTGACCTTGGTGTTGTAACACCACTCTCTAACCAACTGAGCTAACTGGCCAGCCCTAATTTTCAGTCTTTCTAATAGTGACACATTTTGAAATCTAACTGTTGGAGAATTTTTATCTTTTCAGAAGCAAGAGAAAAAGAGGAAGAAATGAACAGAGAGAAAGAACTAAGAAGACAAAATGAAGATATGGAACCAACCTCTTCAGGCTCAACTGTGGCCAGAGATTGCTCGAAATCATCTTCCAGGTGCCTGATTTTTCTTAAAAGGATCCTACCAAACTATCATTTTCTAGGTGTTGACAACACAGTTTAGGCAAAGTTCCTGATATTAAAAGCTTGCGTAATTTCTCTCATTTTAGACAATTGGTGTATCCCTAAGCCATGAAAAAGTCGTGTCAAATTGCAAATCAATTGAGTTTTTAAAAAATATTCCAGATATGATGTTAAAATCTGTGCATTTTGGCTGCATAAATGGAAAGTTGGAAAGATAATGACAAACCTGCAATTTTTGTTATGTTTATTTTGGCATTTACATTTTTTGTCTCTTTTTCCAAAATTCTGCATTCATGATAACTTATTTTTGGTAGGATCATTTATGGAAATGGATAATAAGAAAGAATATAGATAGAGACCCATTATAAAGTTTATTGAGTTATAAGAGAAAGCAACCATTAAAATTACTTCAAAGTGAAATTTAAAGCTATATAACTTAATTGTTAAGAACATTAGAAGATATAAACATATATAGATATCAAACCTGGATAGAATAATACAAAAAATCTAATGTTTAGATATATATTTAATTGTAAAAGTGGTTTCATAAACTATCATTGGTCAAACATAATATGCTGGGCAAAATCTACTATTGGATTGACATTTTTCTATTCTTGATAGGAAAAAAAACCCTGAAAAACCTAAATACAGAAGATATCATTTATACTATGTAATTTCATTTTTTGCTCTTCTGTTTTCTGGTGCAGATCTTTAGTATCTCAGTCTAGGCTCTTAAGCATAATCTTTATTCCATATAATCTTGGTCTGTTTTACAGTTTGTTTTTGTGGAGAAGGGTAATGGGACTATAAGTCTGATTCTCTTTTTTTATAACAGTGCAACCCCAATAGCTGTTGGTTCAGTCTCTGAGGTGTTTGGGTATCCTTGTGTATATTAGTAAAGAGCAGGGGTCAGCAAAATTTTTCTATCAGGGACCAGATAGTAAATATTTTTGGCGTTACAAACCATACAGTCTCTTTCTCAGCTACTCATCTCTGCTGTAGATAATACATAAGTGGATTGGTGTGGCTGTATTCAAATAAAACTTTAAAAAATAAGCAGTTAGCCCAAGTTGGCCATCCCTGCAACAGTGTCATTCCTTTATATACTAGTAAAAAAATTCAGTTTTGCATTGTCTGTGGTTTCATATCATGTCAGTCTCTCAATATCCCTTGGTTTTAATATGACAGGAAAAGAAAACCCTCCTTTTTCTAAGAATATTTAATATTTACATTCAGTTTCTTACTTTTGACACGATCAAAGATGTCAAGAACTGCTACTTTGTTTTCGGAAATTAATCTTATTATTATGGTTTTGACAAACAAATAATGTTTCCATTAATTGAAAATTGTTAAAAATTTCAGTAGTTCTGTTGAGTCTGTAGTTTCCTTCAATACTAACTTTAAAACCCAAAGATAAAGAACATGCACTACTGGTATTAGGAGTTATATTGCTGTGACAAAACTGAAGCAATACTTTTGTCATTAGAGAATTAGTAGTAGAACTACTATTGACATTATAATTATAAAATACAAAGATAGAAATAATCATCAGGGGCTGGCTGGTTAGTACAGTTGGTTAGAGTCTGGCCCTATAACACCAAGGTCAAGGATTTGGTTCCCCACACTGGCTAGATGCCAAAAAAAAAAAAACCCAAAAAACAAAAAAATCAAGAAAGACATTACACAACTTCATTACTGCATTTCATTGATCAAACAATGAAAGTTTACTTACCACTCTCTCAGAAGGCCTTAAATGAATAATCCATGGAAGATGAATAGACCTGTCAAAGCTCAGCTGGTAATATATTAGTATCACGTATACTTAAGGTAGATTTTCTGTATCTATTATAGGATTCTTTAAACTGTTTCTGTGCATTGAATTATCTTGCCATAAAAATAACTTCACTGTGGCTAAATCTAATTAAAACTTTGAAGCCTGTTTTTAAAAATGCATTTCAAGAACATATGTATTTACTGTAAAATGCAATCGAAGATGTTTTCTACTATATTATAATGCATATAATAAATTATTTTGAGAATTTAGCACCTGGACAAAAAAAATCCCTCTTTTCTAAATGCTCTCTTTTATTAGCCATATAAAACACCATTGCCATATTTGTCATGGTTCCTAGGACGCTTAGAATTCAATTTAGTGTTCTTTTGCAATTAATCTCATCCTGGAACTCCAGTTTAGGGAGCAACTTGAATAATGACTTTGAGCTGGAAATAAGGGTCATGTGGTGGGAATTACTGGAACCATGTTACTGCAGTAGTTAGTTATCTCAACTGTATTGAGACTTTCCACACTCAAAAGTATTGATAAATCAATGCCCCTGACATTTCTCATTTTGGGAAACACTTGTAAATGTCCAGAAATCATGTAACTTTTACAAGGCCATAGAAGTCAATGATTGAATTGGTAATAGATTCACTCTATGAAATATTCTTTAAGAAAAATTTATGAAGTTCTGCCTATGGGCCAGACAATGTTCTAGGTTCAAAGAAACAAAGGCTGTTAAAACAAGGTTCCTATTCATAAGGACTTACCAGGTTAGAAATTCTTTATTGCTATGATTAGATGACTTTTTTCATTCCCATTTAGGTATTTGATTTTTACATTCAATAATAAAACTGGTTAGTTACTTGTTGCAAAGAATAAAAAGAGAATAAAGACAGTGATTTTGTTTTGTTCTAAGAATCTTATTCTTTTTTTTCAAATACCTTCAGTTCTAACTAGAGATCAGCAAGTAAATACATCAGATATTCGTTTTTCCAGAGATATAAGGCAAGTGGGAACTTCTTTTGTGCATCACCAAGCATACTGTGCATTGGCACTATGGGGAGCCATTTTTACTAGTCCTGAGAAGGGATGTGGTGACCTTTTTCCTTGGGGGAAAACATGATTAAAGGGAATTCTTTTGAAATTTTGTAAACCAATGCACATTTCTAAATAAGAAATAGGAAAAATGCACATTAGCTAAGGACTTTTAAAGGTCATCGTACCAGTGGCTTTCAAAATGCTTAAGATAGCTTATAAAGAAATCTTTCTCATATATCTGGAAAAAAGTAACACTTAAAATATGTAGGCAGAGAAAAATGTTTAAATTCAGTGAGTTTTTTCCTCATTTAGGTGTCTTAAAGTTGGGTAATTATTGCATAATTTTAATTGCCTGTAAGGCTATGCATTTTATCTTGTGAATTTGACATTTCTTTTTGATTGTCTGATTATTTTTTCTCCACTTGAATTTTACCTCATTTTATGTGCGTAATGATAAACTTGTTAGGTTTTATACATTTTCTCATTCTCTACCTTTTTCTTTTATCTTAATTATATCATATTTTGTTGTGTAAACATTTTACAATGTATTTGAGTATTTTTAAGTGTGTTTAGATATATTTCTTAGGCAGTCACTTTCTTTTTTTTTGGTCACCTGGCAGATATGAGGATCTGAACCTGTGACCTTGGTATTGTAAGGATCTTAAGCAGTCATTTTCCCTCACATGAGATTACTACTGTTATTTTTTAATTACCTCAAACATTTATCATTGCTTTGTGTTGGGACTATCCAAACCCCTCTCTTCTAGCTAATTGAAAGTATACAAGAAATTGTTGTTGATTATAGTCACCCTAGAGTGCTATAGAACACTAGATCTTTTCCTTCTATTCAGCTGTACTTTTGTATCCATTATCTAGTCTCTTACTATCCCTCCCTCCTCCCTACCCTTCCCAGACTCTCGTAACAATCATTCTCTTTACTTCTATGTGACCAACTTTATTAGCTTCCACATATGACTGAGAACATGCAATATGTCTCTTTCTGTTTCTGGACTACTTCACTTAACATATTGTCCTCCAAGCTCATTCATGTTGCTGTTTATGACAGGATTTCCTTTTTTGTGGCTGAATAAAAGTATTCCATTATGTATATATACACCACATTTTCTTTATCCATTCATCTGTTGATGGACACTTAGGTTGATTTTGTATCTTGTCTATTGTAAATAGTGTTACACTAAACATGGGAGTGCAAATATCTTTTTGATAGACTGATTTCTTTTCCTTTGGATATATACCCAGTAGTGGGATTATATGGATGTATGTTGCCATTCAAAAATCAAATATGGGAAAAAATATATCATTTATCCTATTAAATACTGCTTTGATAGGAGAGAAATATTGATGTACTTATGTCAAATTTGTAAGGTAGGAATTGCTTAGGCACTTGCATTTCCTTTTAAAAAATTAATATCTGTGAATTTTGCTTACGAATTTAGTTCCTAAATTGAAATTGTACAACGATAAACATTATTTAGTACTTAGTTAAATTCTCTTTTAAAAAGTCTGAGGAAAAAGAAATAGATTTTTTTTTTTTTACCTTTTTGTCTTTTTTCGTGACCGGCAACGGATCGCAACCCTCAGTGTTGTGCCCATACCGGACCGGGACCGGCAATGGGATCGCAACCCTCGGTGTTGCGCCCGCACCTTGCTCAGCCAGTGAGCGGCCGGTCTGTATGTGGGATCCGAACCCTCGGCGGGAGTGCTGCCGCGCTCCCAAGTGGCGCACTGTAGCAGTACGCCACCGGGCCGGCCCAAAAAGAAATAGATTTTGACTGTTAACTATTTTCTCATGCAATATACTGTTTCTCAGCTGTAGTTTTTGTTTTGGTACCATGTTGAATCACGGCATATTTTAAACATGGAATGCATTCTGTTTTCTATCAGGGACATGTTTGGGCATACTTTCATGGACTTTGTTTTTCAGAATATTTAGAATATATTAAAAATTCTTTATTTTTTTGGTTTGTGCACATTAGAAGTTAAAAGGCAGAAATGGAGTTAGGTACTCATAGAAACTAATGCATTCCATTCATATTTTATGGGGGATATTAGACCTGGATAGTCAGCCATGAAATCATCATGGATCAGTTTAGTTCTCAGTGCAGTGCTTATTTCTGAACTAGTTAACTCAGTTAATTTAGCATGGGTGCTAAGGATTAACATTTCAGTTGAACTCTTGATGGCTTGAATAATTTTGCATTAAAGAAGTCTATGATTTCTGGGGGCCGGCCTAGGGCTCACTTGGAAAAATGTGGTGCTGATAACACCCAGGCCATTGGTTTGGATTCCTATATAGGGGTGGCTGGTTGGCTCACTTGGGAGAGTATGGTGCTGACAACACCAAGTCAAGGGTTAAGATCCCCTTACCGGTCATCTTTTAAAAAAAAAAAAAAAAAAAGGTGACTTCTAAACCAGTACAGCTGTAAATTGTGCTTTAATTGTAAGGGGGAAAATTTGAGAGCGTGAATAGCTTAACAAAAATTTATTCAGTCATTCAACCGTTATTTATCAAGCATCTGCTATGGGTTAGGCACTATTTTAGGCACCGGGGATACAGCAATTAGCAAGTCAGGTAAGACCTCTGTTCTCATTGAGCTCACATTGTACTGGGTGTATTTGAAGGTATGGATAACATTATAAACAACCAAATAAACAATCAAGTACAATAACTTGGCATGTCCTTAATGAAGATCAACAAAGTAAGGTGATTACAGTAGTGGTGACTGGTGTTAAGAAAGGGTGTGCCCAGAGGCTTCTTTGAGGAGGTGACATTTGAGGAAACCTGAATGATGAGAAAGAGGCATCATAACAATTTATGGAAAGAGAGAGTGATCCAGCAGAGGGACCTGCAAGTGCAAAGACACTTAGGGTGATCTGAGTTTAACCCGTTCAATTAGAAAGAAGGCTTGTGCGGCTGGAGATGGTGATGTAGGACATTGCAAAAATAAACAAACTCAAATTTTTATGGAGGTTTGATAGCTTTTACTTCAGTGTAAGGATAACATGTATGTAAAAACATATTCCTTTCAATAGTGAACCTAGATGAAAATAAAAAGAAGAATCCCATTTTTTCCTGCAATAGATATTGAATGCTTACTGTATGTCAGGCACCATTTAGATGCTAGAAATAGCAATGAACATAACAAATTTCTGCCTTAAAGGAGCTTACATACCAGAGATACTTCATTAGAACGCAGTGACACTTTTAATGCTATAAAATATTGAAAGATTGAGTGATACAATTAGGAATGCTAAATTCTCAACTCTTTGGGGTGGAGGGATGGTGGGTGGTGGTAGATATGGCTTTTAGAATATCAATAGGTGTTTGATAGAGACCTTAATAAGAGTGTATAACAGAGCATGCTGAATAGAAAAACAATTGGTAGTCAGTGTGATACGCCCCAGAGTAAGGTAATTTTAGAATCCTAGAATGGTACATTTAGTGTTTTATCAACTCATGGAACTTGGATTAGCACTGAGAAATAATTTGTATTTCAGAAATTATTGTGAAACATTTGAAAAACAATTGGTAGTCAGTGTGATACGCCCCAGAGTAAGGTAATTTTAGAATCCTAGAATGCTACATTTAGTGTTTTATCAACTCATGGAACTTGGATTAGCACTGAGAAATAATTTGTATTTCAGAAATTATTGTGAAACATTTGGGGAGTAATACTAACTTTGTTACATGACTAGCTTTATTTGCTCAGTGGTTTTCATTCTTATGGATCTAGTATTTTGTAGTTGTTTCTTTCATATTCTGTTGTTCTCCTGTCTCTAGGAGTGATAATCATCTAATGGGCCTTTAATGTATAATTGCTGTGACACTGGCTTTATGCTTAGATAAGATATATAGAAGAAGCTCTTTTTTTTTTTTTTTAAATTTCACATAACATTTGAGTTAAACATTTAATGTTTGAATTACAAATTTAAAAACATTTAAAAAACCCAGTTGTTGTTAAAACGAGAGACAGGGCCTCCTGAGAAATCAATACTGTCTCCAAAGCGTGTTTTTTATTGCAGCAGAGGCAAAGAGTCTCTGTTTCTGTATTTTCAGGAATACAAGCAGCAGTGAAAGTGAAGAGAGTTCTGAGTCTTCTGATGATGAGTTAATTGGCCCTCCTTTACCTCCTAAAATGGTAGAAGAACCAGTTAATCTTATGGAGGAGGATATCCTCAGTCCCTTACCTCCATCTCTTCATGAAGAAGTAGAAGAGGAAGAAGATGATGATGATTCAGTAGAGGATGAAGTAAGTATTTCAGTGGTAGAATTCAGTGGAGTAGTATCTTTAAAGGACTGTAGAGATCAGTTCCCTGCTACACTGTTACTCATGAGTGAGAGCAAATTAAAAAAAATGAAAAAAAAAATCTGAGTTTACTAGTGATACCCCTTGTTGAAAGAACTTTAGGAGGAAGGAAACAGAACTCAAAGATAATAAATGGAGAGCAGGAGCAATGGGTTAAAAATAAATTAATATTTTATTAAATCTACATATACATTGAGTGTAAATAATAAATAATAATGATAAATAAATTTGGGGGGATTTAAAAACAAAGTGGATCTAAAATTATCATCAGTAATAAAGTGAAAGATGGGAGAATGGAATCAGAGTTCATTCATTTTGAGCTCCTTGTATTATTTAGGGTGAAACTAGAGATATAAGTTAACTTTAGATTAATTTAGGTCAGGTATGCAAGTTACAAGTTTAAAAGTAATTGCCCAAAGAATAGAAATAAAATGTATAACCTCCAAAATGTAAAAGGAAAAAATGATAAAATTAATGGTATACTTTGTGTATTTGACACCTGGAATAAATAATTTTTAATGCTTCCCTTCTCTAAGTAACAAATTATTTCAGTAATAATTATGAAATGAAGTTTGTAATAGTAATGGTGAGAAAATAAACAGCTTTTATAAATCTGTCAATGATTTGGCAAAATGGGTATTCTTTGCATGTTCATGTTCAGTACATGACACCAATTTGTCAATCTTTTTATTCATAGTTGATCAAATAAAGCTTTTAATTTAAATTTTGTAAATTTTTCTTTCACATAAAACAACAGGTGTATATATTTATATGTACACACACACATGCACATATATGTGTGTGCATATGTAATATTAGGAAAAGAGAAACATAAGGGCTAATTTTTCAGTTTCATTAAAAATTTTGTCTGTAAATTCCAGAAATTGCATTGTGACCATATCTTTTTTCCTTTGATATCAATTCCAGTGGCTTTTAAATATATCTGTAGTTGAAATATTTTCACTAAAATTCCTTTATCAGAAAATTCATCATTTTCTATTATATTTGATGTAAACTCTTAAAGTTTTCTTCTGGAAAAATGAGAGAAAATGGCTAAATGATGGCAAGCGTTGTCATTAAATGATCCATTGCTTTAGAATGTTTTTGGTAAAAAACAATGGAGGCATTCAGACATTGCCCTTTTGAATTCATTTGCCAACCTCATCTACCATCTTTGGTTTTTTCTCCTGGCACTCATAGAAAACAATTAAAGTTATTGGTTTTTTGTTTCTTTGTCTTCATAATCATTGTTTATTTTGAATCTACTGTTTAAATGAAGAAACAGGTAGCATAACCAGAATTAGAAATATGAATCTATATTTGAAGTAAGCTTGAATGATTCCAAACTGTTAGAAACATTACCTGGAACCCTGTGTAGCTGAGTGTGTGTGTGTGCGTGTGCAGTATGTGTGGTACAGACTGCGTAACTGAGAGTTCTCCAAAATAATTTCATGTAGAATACTATGTTTATTAAGAGATAAGAAATAAAGATGTGTTAATTGGAGCTTACATATATATTATTAAAACTCAACAGTAACCATAGCAAAAAAACAATAAAAAATAGTGTTTAAAATGTCATTAATAAAAAGCAGACTTATCTTTAGGTGATTTTATTATTTTTTTTAAGTTCTCTATAGAAAATGTGCTCTCTTATTGTCTGCTTCACTTCCACTGTAATTCTCTTGATATGCCATTGAAGAAAATTCAGTTATTCCAATAAAAGGCAGGAAAGGAGAAAAGAGCAGAGGAAAATCTTGGTAAATAGGTGTTACAAAATCAGATGATAGATATGAATATAAATATATCAGTATTAACAATAAGTGTAAATGGACTAAATTTACCACTTTATTCCTTTTTTTTTTTTTTGTCTTTTTTACTGACCGTTAACGGGATTGCAACCCTCGGTGTCGCGCCCGTACCGGGGAC